TTTACCTTGTAAGTGAACTGTACCATCCAGCTGTAAGTTCCATATATATGAATTTTTTCCAAACTTTTGCTTAACTGGGTTCTAAAACATCAGTTCTACATGATTATTTTCTAGTGTAGTCTAATTACTCCTTATTCTTGGAGGGAAAAAACCCAAAATAACACAGCAAAGCAAAATAATAGAAGAAAACCACCCACAACTTTTACCTTTTTGTTAGACTGAAGATACAATAAACCTGCAGATGTTACTTTTATCAGAGATTGGGAATATTGGTGAGTACTAGAAGTGTAGACAGCGAGGGTGGTGTTCCTGCCAGACAAGCCTGAAAGCAAAATAGTAATTAACATCTAACTGGAAAACCAATTTTCTGTGAACTTAACTAAGCTTACTGCAGGCCTTTCAAATTACCTCTTGACTGCTAATGTGGCAGAGATTTGTGAAAAACTGAGGAACAGTATCAAACTCAGGCCCTTTTCCATGGCAATGCTGTACAACAGTGTGGTGTTATGGATTATACATTTTTCAACAGTTCTCCAACCAAAGGTTAATTCAATTCCCAGCAAGGAGAAAGTCCTGTCTGCCAATTAGTGTGTAATGGGTGAGACTGAAACCAAGTACTGAATCCCAGGTTGCTGCTTCAGGAATTCAAAGTTAGGCTGAAGCTCATTTTCCCTCTCATATTCTCTAAATATTATTCACGATTAAAAATTTCTATAGTTCGAAGAAGCTTTTCATTCTGAAGCTTGAAAGTAAGAATACTGAAATCTCCTGTCATAAGAAGTTAGAATTGAAATATACAGACCATAATTATAAAAGTGGAAGTAGATACTTCCATCTCAAACTTTATCAATTTTTTTAAACACTGATAACATAAAAATATTTTATAGCAGGAAAAGAGATAGGGTATTAGACTGCTTAAAGTTTTTGCTGTTTACTTGCAGCTACAGTGTAGGACTCAGAGACAGTTATGAAATAGGTCTACTGAAGTAAAAATAAATCAACTTATGTAATTTATACTACTCATTCAAGGTACTAATAGTGCATGATAAAAGCTAGACATACTAATCCTCCTTTCTTGCTGTGGTAAAGGCTAAATACTTTGCATATTATACAGTCCCATATAGTTGGTAAAATCCAGACCTAAATTTATGTAATATAATATTTATATTTGAATGGAGAGTTTTAATAACTGCAATTGTGGGGGACAGAGCAACAGCCAATTTATGAATTTGTTTTCTGTCAGTAAACCCAGGGGATGATCTCACATTTTCAGGAGTTACTACTGATGGCAACTGCACACTATTTTCTCTCTGGTTTTCCCCCCTCTTCCTTCTCTGCAAGTTGTGCCATTCAGCTTGTGCAAAAATGCCACAGGCTGTCCCTGCAGATGCCTGCAATGAACAGCCTGCACTGTGAAGGGTCTCTTCCTAAAGATTCAGGTCCTTAATCCCTTTTCCACCTTTATTACAACATTTCTGGTTACAATTCATCCACCTTCCTTCCAGCCACAGTGTAAAATAGTAGATATCAGCAGGTCAGCTCCACATTCCCCAATTTCCCACCAGCACATGCCCAAGTCATGCAGAGGGACAAAACAGGAAAGGATCTGGGACTGGTCTGGAGCAGCTTGCTTCCCCTTAGCCAGCCAAGAAGTCACTGCTCAGTCACTCAGTGAGACTCACAGAACAGATAAATACTGAGGTCATAAGGACTTTAATTTGGGTTTCCCTCTTTTCCTCTTCTACTTGTAGGAACTTAGATATCTTTGAGACCTCAACCTCTGAAGCAAATTGAACTGCAGAGCCAGAGAGCAGATTCCAAGAATAGCTTTGAACACGGAGCGGCTGTCATTGTTATTGCTCACATTTTGTCTTTACCTGTTTGAAGCATGTGAGAAGAGGACAATGTAAAATCATCCCAATTTTAGGTACTAGATCCCAATTGTGTCAGCCAACACCACTGTAAAACCCAGCCTGATAACCAGTGGGACTGAGTCCCCTCCTTTCAGACAAGTTTTGTCTAAAAGTCTATGGCTTTATCAAATATGTTCTAAATAGAATAACTTTGCAAAGAAGCAAGCAGAATGTATTCTACCCTAAGCTGTTAAGTGTCCTAAGATAAATAACAATGAAAGAACAGATTTCTTATTAAAAGGAGACAAAATGGACAAACAAGGGACAAAGGGATAATAAGAATAATAGTAATAATAATAATATTTAAAGGCTTACTCCAGCAGCACTTGTTCAAGTTAGGCTTGCTAAAATATCCAAACAAACCACTAGCAGCTTTGTAAAGAGATGACAAAGGCCAGAGTTTATCCAGAGTGATTCACCTGTACTTTTCTCTTTGTCTTTTAATATACAACAATTCACTGAAGTCTCACTTGAGATGGAAAAGTATCCTATAAGCAAGTATAGCACACTATAAGGACATATAATGCTTGATTATCCTCAACCCAGTGCCTCAAATTTACATTCATAGATCCACTTTTAAAGCATTGTATAAATGGCTTCTCAATTTAATTAAAGGCTTATAAGCTTTATTGAATGAACTCTTCAGCATGCTTTACTCACCAGCTTATGACTACAGAGACATTATTCAGGGAACATTAACCTCAGTCTTTCATTTGAATCAAAACTTATAATTTTAATCTTTTAAAGGCAACTTATCTTGCACATAAAATTACAAACAAAAAATGGATTTCAAACATGATGTAAAATAACTGCCTATCAATCTTTCCTACCAGACCTTCCAGGCTCATACTATCTTAGCCTGCAGATCCAATTATCCTCCAACATTTGCTGCTCAACCATGCTGAGATTATTCACCAGCCCTCCAGTTAGACTGTAATAAGAGGTCTGTGGGTGCATTTACACTCAGAAAAATAAGGTATAAATGCTGGAATTGCCATCACATCTTTTTGAGTTACATGCACAGACATAAACTGTACAGTAATGAATCAGACTCTTTCCAGCTGCTTTATCCATTCATTTGCATGATATTTGGACTTGCTAATTCAAAAAAAAAAAATCAAGGTGCAGTGTACCTTTAAGATGATGCATCTCTTGACCTGAAGGCCCTTACAAACAAAGTACTAATATCCCATGGAAGATATTTCCTCCTGTGCACAGCCAGCCAATGCTCCAACATGGATATGTGATTAACCTCTGTAAAGGCAATCTCAGCCCCTTACACACTGAAACTACATTGACCTCAAAGATTATGTTCTGCACAAAATTTGGCAGACTTTCTGCTATTCAGCAAAAAATATAATGGCAGATTAATGATAAAGTGGTTTCTGATACTCCAGTCTTAATGGTGTTTTCTCACTGCAGTAGTTGTACATCATGACAAAACAAAAGCCCTCTGCCACAGGACATCAGGATACATTGCCAAAAATGTCAGAACCACAGTTTTCAGCCCAAAGCTGCAACTACTTGAACTGCAGGAGTCATTTCATTAGCTGACAGCTGCAATAAGCTGTTCTTTCTCTGTGGAGAAGCTACTGGTGGGAGGTACAATTCACACAGGCAGCCCCCATAAATCATATACCACTTTAAGAAAAATATACTTAAGGAAACATTCACAACGTAATGTGAAGTACCTTTCCTATTTATTATCCTTGTGTTCTCAGTGAATTCATTCCTTAACATTCTGTATTTCAAAAACTCTTAACAGACTATTAAAACATGGACAAAGTTCAGGAAAATTCAAACATTTTGTTCCCATTTGTACTATTTTTGATGATCTAGAGGATCTAGAGCCTTGGTGGTTCTTCATGATCTATTTCTAGTCAGTGTGTTCCTACTGACCGAGGGAAGACAGAATTAGGTTCTTTAGTTACAGGTTGAAACCCTTATGGTGTTTATTTACTGTGTTGCTACAATATAAAGTAACAAGAAATTGTAACTGGAAATGTAATCAGCTGAAAAAGCCACTAAGACATTTCAAAGCCATATGGTATTAATTAAATACAGCATATAATTGAATAATGAACGTACATAGACATTTCCAAGTCTTTAATGCTGTGATAACCTCTAGTCTCCTAAATGTCTAAGGAAAGTTGTAGATGGATGAGCCATGAAGAGGGTGGGAAGAGGCTTCGGTGTCACAAGGGGGTGTTTGCCAGCCACTGCTGAGTCAGGCAAGTTATAGATCCTCACATCCACCTCTTCAAATGGTTTCTCTATTATTCAAACAATTTTCACGGGAACCATTGAAAATTTCTGGCAGGTAATACTGCAGCTGAACACCCAGCTTTGTTTTGTTTCTTTAAATCCATATTACATCCCCTATGTGAATCCAAATCTGATGTGCAATCTCCATTTTCATAGCAAATTCTTCACCAGTAGCTTATTGTTAAAGAAACAGAAATGTTACATTTGAACAGATATAACATTAATAAAAAGGGTTGTGTAATATTTGATATTGTATTTACTGCCTCTTTTAATTTTTTTTAATCATACATTATATAAGCAATTACACAGCTTGTAGTTTTGTTTTGGGGGTTTGTTTTTCTTTTGTTTGTTTCATTGATTTTGTTAATTTGTTGAGGTTTTTGTTTGTTTTGTTGGTTTTTTTTTAATTTGGAAGCACTCAGAAAAGGATTGATATATGCATTTTACTTCTGAGCTGCAGTCATTCTGTACAATCATACTTTGGATTATTAGTACCAACCAACTAAAAAACAACTGTGGTTGAAGCAGATTCTTGGAGAGGGGTGTCACATCTCTGTGACAGACATATAATTACCTGTCACATCCCCCAGGTACTCCCAAGCACCAGGGAAAAACAACAAAGTAGGACAAAACAGGCACCTTCCTCCTGCACTCCAGCAATGTCTCTAACCAGCAGGTGCACCAGGTGGAGCAGCATTTAAGTTGTCTTAGCTGCCTATGGAAGCAGTTCTTATCCATTCACTTTTCTGAGTCAGTTTAAAAAGTCATGGAGAAGAAGAAAAATATGCTGTCAAGGTTATGTATTTCCATTTTTTTTTCCAGAATTACTGATGAGAAGAGTATCTGTTCCACTAGAGGGAGGAGCAGGCTCAGGAACTGAATTTCCAACTAATATTCCAGTGCCACCTACAATAACAGATTTACTCCTATGTGAAGGATGGTCTGTTGTCAGAAAGTGTTGAAAAGGCACAACTGGAATAGCAAGTTCTGTAACAACAAAAATAAAAGAAAAAGGAAGAATCGCACTTGAGGTACATTTGGATTTCTTGTTTTGTCCCTGTTTATCTTGAAAAGAGGATGTGGTTTTAGTCATAAATAATTTTGTTCATAACATATATGAGTTTCTAGACCATGCTTTCCTTTGACATAGAGATAAAGCTACCTTGAGAAGAAATTTGTAGCCTCTCTTCATTCCTCTAAAGGGCTTCATGTCGATGTTTATTTTCATGTATTTTGCCATATTGCTTCTTGTTTTTAAGATCTGGTAGCAAGGTATTATCTTCATCTGAAAACTGGTATATTTAAGAACTTGGAGATTATTCATACCTTTCAAGTATGAAGATGTTAATACTTGTAATTCTGGTGAGTTTTCCCTAAAATATATTTCAGATAGAACAGACCTAGAGATTTTAAAAGGTCAATTTTTCCCAAAGAAAGCTCGAGAAATACAAAACCCTCATGTCAGAGCTTCTATCTGTTCACCTGCATATAACAATATGGCAAATCACTGTCATGAAAAGATTAAAGTCACTTAGTAGAGAAACTATTTTTAGTGACTTTGGCTGGGACAAGTCCCATGGCTCTTTAGTGCAGCCCAAGGAGACAAAGGAACAGCTGTATCTTATTCAGGCAAGCAAGGCTACAAGGAGACATGGCTGTAGTCCAGCCTATCCAAGACATGGCTGTAGTCCAACCTATCCATCTCACCTGCCAGAGAATAGCTGTAGCAGAACAGGAGGGCACTCATGGAAGAGCTGGAACCTGCCATGCGTTCCTCTCCTCCTCCTCCCACTCTGAAACAGTGCTCAGGGTGATGCACAACTTCTCCTTTAGGGCACTTTGTGATGCCATCCATGCAGCATACACAATACTAAGCAGGTTTCTCTCTTCTGGGTGGGTTTGACCAGCAGCTGTCACGTTTGTGTCTCTCACTGATGACTGAGAGACCATCTTCAACCAGCCAAACAAACCCCCTCTGTGTTGTGCAATCAATCTAGACATGACTCCAAACCAGAGGAGTGCTGTATTCAGAGAGAAGCATGCACTTAAATGAGTTCTTAAGTCCCCAGGGAATAGGTTTCATAGTGCTTTAGCACACACCTCTAGAAGATCTTGTCTCTTGTAGAGGTTTCACTGCATTTTACATCCCATCAGGCCAGAAAGAGGCATTATTTACAGAGCTTGAAAAATTCTGTTTATCCTAGACCAAAAACATTAAACTCCCTGGATATTAAGACAGAAGCCTTGAACTTGATGGGATGAAAACAGTAGGGTCAACATGCTGCTGGCAGTCCCAGCAGGAAATGTGCTGCATGATTTTGTATTGCCTAGTGTTTGCTAAATATTTAGTCTCTCGTGCTTCTCATTACTGTAGCTCAGCCAAGAATCAATGAAAATCTGAGTAACTGAGGTCAGCTGAAATTTTCCTGCCTTCCCAGAGATGTGTGAGGGTTTGAACCACTCTCCCAAGCAACACGTTATATTATAGTCAGAATAATACCAGAAAGAGCTTTAGAATCACCCATGATCATCTCAGCAGAAAAGGGCAGAACTGTCTTGTACTAAACTGCAAGAAATATCTAGTGGTTGTCTTATTATAGGTTACTCTTGACAGCAGGATAAGAGGATGTGTGTAGTCTGAGATTAGAAATGCATTGCAGAGTCATAGAGAGGTCAGCAAGGAGAAATTTGCATTATTATTCTATTCCAAAGTATATAGATTTCCCTTCTGACTACCTCAATCTGTGATGATAAGCAGATGAGCAGAAAAGCTGTAGGATTCACACTTGGTTCCTGTTGCCAGATAGAAACATTGTGAATAACATCTGCCTATGGCTGGGCTCTCTCTGGATCAATGCAAGGTTATGGCCACTGCCTCTTTTGATCTCTGCTGAGTAGAACAGAACTTGTGTCTCATTAGCCAGAGTTGGGTGATGCTGGGCACAGAGGGCACTTTAGCAACAGCAGATTATGAACTCTGCAGCCTTACAAAAAGTGTCACAATAAAATGGATGTATTTTGCTTTGCAGTATTCCACGTGCCTTGGCATAGATCAAGATCTGTTTCACCTGATTTCATCTTTTAAAGTGCTGCCTATTGGTTTATTGCATAAAGTGTAATTGGCACCAATCAATGGGAAAAGGTACAAAAGAATTATTGTACTTGCACTTAAAGTTATTTATCAAGTGAAGCAAACACATAGCCATTAAGAAATGTCCTAAAATAAGCAAGGAGGGTAACCATCAGCAAAAAAATAAGGGAGCCACTTTGAGCCTATAGGCATTTTTTTCCCTTACATATAAATATCTGTGACCTCAGATAATAAGCTAGCGATTTGCCCTAATCACAGCAAAAATCTATTCTAGCTGACTTAGGATAATCTTTCCTGAAAAACAGGCTTCAATATTTAAATAAACAATATTCAGAATATGTGTTTTTTACCGAAATACAGTTGCGAGCTACATTGCCAGTATGAATGGGATATTGCGTATTTGCACACGGCCACTGTCATACATGACATTAATGGAATGATATTGAGAGAGGATAATGAAATCATTCAGACCACCTACTTCAAATTCCTCCTAGCAGAGATTTTGAGAGACTTATTTCTTATTTCTTATTTCTTATTTAAAGAAAAAAAAAGGTCACAGTCAGAAGGGTTGCTCATATTATGTCTATAGTGTGAGAAACAGAAAAAAAAAGAAGAAAAATAAATTTGCAATTGCAATTGATATGCAAATACAAGCAAAACTACTTAAATTACACAAACTACTGATAGAAGAACAACACCCCTCTGCAATCAAGTTTGAGTATGGCAAGACATGAAAATTCCCATCCATCTCTTAGCCATTTAGGCTTCCTACATTTTAATATTTGTTAGCAGAACTTTTAAGATTAAAAAACTCACTATCTCAAAACATGTCCAAGAGCTAACTTTATATCTTATACATTACATGAACATGTCAGGATTGAAATCTTTGTACTTCTCAAGTTGAAATGTTATGGACAGAACTCTGCACTTGATTAAAGTACGGTTTTGATCTTTTGCAGCTGGGATAATGCTTCAAGATAGAAAGATACCTCTTATCCTGCACATTGCTGAGGAACTAGAAAATTAAAATTCTTGTTTGGATTATGTGTTGAACACAAAATCTTCATTTCACCTTGGCTATAAAGTAACAGAAAGTGTACTCTTTTCCCCTTAGAAGATAAGAAAACTGCTTCATGGTTTTGCTTGCCATCTAGTAATTTTCATTATTTAGAAATATATTATTTACTTGGTGGTCTTCTCCTTACTGTGGCTGTTTTCTGATATGAGGTTCACTAATAACACACAGGCTCTGGGTTATTCCAAAATACACTTCACCAAACACAGATAAATTTAACTCACAGTGTCAAATCTCCATGCAAGATGAAGAATATTTGAACCTTGTAATTCCTTCTGCCATACTTTCCATTCTCTCATTGCTCTTGTATTTCACCCAGAGGAAGTGTTCCTATCTTTGCATAACAGAATGGAGACAGTTCAAAAGAGTGCCTTGCTTTCATCCATGTACAGCACACCCAATCTGAAAGTTATTTGAAAATAGTTTCTTCAGGGCCTCATTTTTAAGCCATAGGCAGTTAAACCTGATAACCATACCCTCATATGGGAAACAGTGACACTTTTTGAATTTCCTTAGACCTTATGGGTGCAATGTCCTCAAGAGCAGCTTTTTTCCTATTTTGAAAAACATTCAGAAGGGTTATTAGCCAAAAATACTTAGCTGCATCAGGGGCTTATCTGGGAACTGAAGTTGGCTTTATTACATTCAAATATTTCAGTTAGAATTGTCTGCAGTCCTATCTGCCTTCAGACAATTTGTTTAATTTTCCTGTTAGATTTTTTTTAACACAGAAAAAATTTTTTGTTTCAGTTGTCAGCTACAAAAACTCAAGCATAGGTTCAAAGAGTCAAGACATATCCTTATATTCATTTATCACTAATAAAATTCTTTACACCACTAGGGTGGATTTCAGACATAAACTTGTAGGGTAATTTATCTGAGTCACAACTACCACTGGCGATAAAGGAGAGTGAAAGAAAAGCATTTGACTTTCACATCTTATGTTGGGTGTGGTAAGAATTGCAGTTAGAAGAAGTTTAGTAAATTGGAGAGTTTTATAAAGAATCCAAATGAATTTACAACTCTTTTGTCCAGCTGTTCTTAGTAAAGTATTAAAATATTTGCATTCTTGGAGCAAAAGCAAGTTACCAACACTGTTGCAATTTAGATTTCCATATTTGCTCCAGGCAGCACCCTATGCAGTGAATCTCCTCCAGTAGTTAGGTAATTTCTTCTTACACCTGTATTGGTTTGGAGGATCACTTTACTTTTCATCTTTAGGATTTTTTGGTGCTTTCTATCACTAGTTTATTTTGAGTGTTGAAGTGTTAATGAAGACTTGAAAAAAGTTCCTTAAACCTTGGGTTTTTTAAGAATGTACTGCAGGACACTAAAAGGTGTGATTTAAGCAATACAATACATTTGCTCACAGCAAGTGTCTTACTTACAATGACAAAATTTCTTCCCTTACCTTTCTACAGTTACTTTTAGAAAGAAAAGAGCTAGAAGTACAAAATATGTTTTTAAAAAACTTAAATAAAACAAGCCAAGTGTTTAATTGACACTTGTGTCTGAGGTCAAACAGGCACATAAAATAGTAGAAGCAGCAAGGAGTGATATATTAGGTAACCTAGTCAGATAAGGTTTTTTTGAATATGGAGTCACCATTATAGCAAACTTAGTGTGAAAAGTCACCATTGTTGGCAAGTGAATCCTATTTTAACAGATGAATCAAATTCTTTCTTATGCTGTTTTTAGGAGCAGAACAGACTTAATTGTTATGGGGAGTAACAAAGATACACAGTTTTTTCATGCCTCCCCATTTCTTCTATCACACAGAGGATCTGAAAGGGAAATCCAGAATATATGCGTAATGATTTCCCC